CAGTGTTTATTCCCAAAGGAATGTTCATAAAGCATTTCAATCTTTAATATTGGTTAGTTACTTCTTAGTGTTAATTAATTTTATATCATTAAATATCACTTAATATCATTAAATGATACAACAAAATGTATGTAGTAAAATAATACATGTAAGGTACCCAGCAGTGTCCCTGGCATATTAATTTGTTAAGTCTCTTCACTTGTTTTTTATGCTCAATACTATATCTAATAATCACCCAATAAATATTGATAGGTTGGGGCCAGCGCTGTAGCATAGCAGGTAAAGCCACCACCTGCAATGTCAGCATCCCACAGGGGCGCCGGTTCTAGTCCTGGCTATTCCACTTCCCATCCAGCTCTCTGCTATGGCCTTGGAAAGCAGTAGAAGATGGCCTAAGTCCTTGGGCCCCTGCACCCGCATCGGAGGCCCAGAAAAAGCTCCTGACTCCTGACTTTGGATAGGTGCAGCTCCGGCTGTTGCAGCCAGTTGGGGAGTGAACCAGCAGATGGAAGACCTCTCTCTCTGTCTCTGTCTCTCTCTCTGTGTAACTCTGACTTTCAAATGAATAAATACATTTTTTAAAAAATTGATAGGTTGATTGCCTTTAACTTACATTGACATTAACAATTTATTATTCTTTCTACCCAGATAGAAAATTTTTCTTTTTTTCCCCCTCGTGTCTTTCACTCCTTGTTTCCTGTTCATATGCAGACAAAATCTTGAAAAGTCAGAAAAAATTCTGGATCTAATCATGAAAAGATGGCTTTGTCAATTCCACTTTGTATTCCCTCCAAGAACCTTTTAAAGAATTTACTAGCGATGTACTAATCAGCATAACTGTCAGCCCCTAATGAAAGAAGCTTATATATATATATATATATATATGTATGTTTTATAATATTAATCCTGTTCTTCAAAGCTTTATCCATACTTTCAAAGGATTTGGGCCCCTGTCACCCATGTGAGAGATCAGGATGAAGCTCTTGGCTTCTGGCTTCTGACTTCTGGCTTCTGGCTTCTGGCTTCAGCCTAGCCCAGCCATCTGAGGAGTGTACCAGTGGATGGAAAAATCTCTCTCCTTATTTATTTACATGTGTGTGTATCTCCCTCTCTGTAACTCTAATTTCAAATAAATCTTTTATAAAAACAAACAAAAAAAGCTTCTACCATTTGGATTAGGATTTTAAAGAGATGAAAGATTATTTCCAGGATGAAAAACAGGGTCACATATTATCAGTGTAAATAAAATGAAATTATATTTTAATTGTTAGGTTTTATAGGAAATAAAATTAAAGTCAACCTTTTACATATATATTTATTTACATATATATTATATATATTCTATAGATCTATTTTGATAGGAGGGTAGATGGAATGTGTATTCACTATACCTTCTTGAATTAATTACCTCCTTCTGTGCCTGAATTTTTGCTTTATCATTATTTCAGAAGATAGAATAAAATAGACCTTTATGTGTCGTCTTGACACTCTTGTAAGGAGACATGTTAGGGAACAGTAAGGTAATTGAGCTAGAGAATATTCCTAGCTTCTGCTCTTCTATTTCTTTCTTTTTTTTTAATTTTTTTTTTTTTTTTGACAGGCAAAGTGGACAGTGAGAGAGAAAGACAGAGAGAAAGGTTTTCCTTTGCCGTTGGTTCACCCTCCAATGGCCACCGGGGCCGGCGTGCTGCGGCCGGCGCACTGCGCTGATCCGATGGCAGGAGCCAGGTACTTCTCCTGGTCTCCCATGGGGTGCAGTACTCGGGCCATCCTCCACTGCACTCCCTGGCCACAGCAGAGAGCTGGCCTGGAAGAGGGGCAACCGGGACAGAATCCGGCGCCCTGACCAGGACTAGAACCTGGTGTGCCGGCACCGCTAGGTGGAGGATTAGCCTATTGAGCCGCGGCTCCAGCCTCTGCTCTTCTATTTCTAACTTTACCTCCATTCAGTAATATCTTCTTCATATTGCCATGTACTTGCCTGGCTTTCTCACATTGTTCTCAGTGTTGATGTGTAAGATTAGTAAAGCTGCTTATTGTTAACATGAATTAGAGTTCAGGCATCAGGAATAGGACTAAAGATTGTTTGGACAATTCTAAAAACTTTCCTAAGACTTTTTCTTTTGCCATTAAAATAGTTTTGACTGGTGTTTTAGAATTTTTAAAACATTAGAACCAGAAATGTTTCAAAACCTTTAAAAATGTTTTCCTTTCGTCATTATTATCTTGGATTTGGATTAGTGCTGATTAGAGTATACAGAGTACTGCTTGTGAAATATTACAAAGTTATTAACTATGATACAACACAAAAATGCATTTTAAAAGTTTATGGAAAAATGTAATTAAAAGTAAGTTTATTTTGGTGCAGACTTTGCATGATTTATGGAAAATGTGTATTCTGAAAAAAAGTATGCATGGATTTTTAAAAATCTTTATTATTTTATTTATTTGAAAGAGTTACAGAGAGAGGTAGAGACAGAGAGAGAGGTTTTCTATCTGATGGTCGCAACGGCCAGAGCGTGCATGGATTTGAAAATTATTTTTGCACCAAAATAGAGTCATGCTTTTAACTCCATTTTTTTCTTTTTTCTTCAGTGAAATTTTTTGAAGTACCTGCAAAAAACCAAAACTTAAGAGCCATTCCCATTTTCATTTACATTGTGATTTTTGGGGGTTGGGGGAGCTGAAGGAAATTAGATTGAGGTGACTTCTTTAAAGATCTTTCTACATGTAAAGGAATATGTAAGTGAATAACACTGGAACTTTTTGTGTGGACCTGGTCACCTTTAATATCTCAAGATGACCTAATGATGGAAAAGAACATTGGTGTAAGGCTCCAGAGGGAGCAGGTAGGGAGATTAAACCTCGAAATTCTGATTGGTTTTAGTTCCAGTTCACAGCCTAAGGTAGATCATACAGTGAAGGATTTTTTTTTTTTTTAAGAGATTCAGCCCTGATCCTTTCATTTCAATGTGAATACAGACATAAAAGATGTGTTTTAAATTTTCTTGTTAATTTTTTGTTGCTCTGTAGTAACTAGCAGTGAGCTGGGGAAATCTAGGAGGAAAAAACATTGTGCTTTGACAACTTGCAGAGCTACTTCAATGTAAAATATGATCCTGAGGAAGGGTGAATGAATAGGAGCCTTACTCTCCTTATTCATTTTAGCCTCTATATCTGTTATTTTGTAAACTGAAATTTTGTAGAATGAGCATTAGCAGTTATCTAGCAGTGATTTACAAGTGAAGAAACTGAGACTCAGAGAGGTAAGTTAACTGGCCATCAGTCACATAAGTAGTAAAGATTCACACACATTCATTCTGGTCTGCCCTGCATTTTTCTGACATGTTGGAAAGCCATACTGTCTCAATTCAATATCATGTTTATTTCTACAAACTTACTTCAGAGAATGAGATATTTCGGTTTTTGTTGATCTTACACAGCTGAAGCGTCATTAGACTTTTCTAGTACCTACGCAATTGTTTCTGTAGGGGAGAGATATAAATATAATAAATATAAATATACCGGGTTAAGGGATGAGGCTTCTAAGAGAAAACAGCTTTGCTTCATATAAGTTTTATCTGACCCGGGAGCCTTCCTGAGGAAATAAAGACTCAAAGAAATGGTGATACCTGTCTGCCTTTATGCTCAGTTTGATGGAGAATGGATGGGTGAAGAAATATGGTGGAGCAAAGGGGGCTTACAGTAACAAACCAGGAAAAGCTCAGCAAAGCCTGTTGTTGATTCTTCTCTCTCATCCTCTGTGTTCAGTGATAAGGATGTTCTCCTCCTTTGGGTGTAGGGGTGGTACCTCTCACATGAGAGTCCTAGGACCTACCTAAGAAAAGGTCAGAAAAGCCTTCCTAGGTGTTTGACCTGCTTCAAGAGAGAAGCAAGTGTGAGGCCACAGAGGCCGTTCTGTTCTGTAGCTTTTCAGTATGTTAAGGTGGCATATTTTGGAATAGTGTGTCATGAACTTGATCATTCCTCTCTCTCTCATCCTCCTGTGTGTTTATTGAGCAGCTTAATAGAGATTATAGCACTTCCTTTATTGTGTCATTAATAGAAACTAAATAAAACAGACAGGAAACTGGGGAAACTTGCCATGAATGGCACTGGAATTTTTTTCTATTCAGTAACTTTTTGGTAAATTTTAAATTTTATTTTATGAAATAGTGAAACGGAAAGGTTTTGTTTTATTTTAAATCACAGGTATTTGTTACCTGAAGAAACATTTTTTGTCTTCTTTGCAGTTTTGTTATTTGAGAAGCAAAGAGACACAGCGAGATGGTTTCCATCCATCTGCTGGTTCACTCCCCAGATGCCTGCAACCACTGGGGCTGAACCAGGTCTATACTGGGAGTCAGAAACGCATTCAGGGTATCCCGGATGGTTTGTAGCAATCCAACAACTTGAACCAGCACTGGTGCCTCCCAGGGTGCACACTGGCAGAGCCAGAACTTGAAGCCCAGCATTCCGCTTTAGGATGTGGGTGTCCCAACTGTCAGCTTAACCGCTGGGCCAAACACCTTCCCCTATTTTTGTTTTGTTGTTCTTAAATTTTTATTGATTTGTTTGAAAGACACAGAGAGAGAGAGAGAGAGAAAGCTCTCATGTATTGGTTCACTCTTTTAGTGCTCAGAATGGCCAAAGCTAGGCCAGGGCTGAAACTGGAAGTTAGGAACTGAATCCAGGTCCTCCATGTGGGTGGCAGGGACACAACTACTTGAGCCATCCCTCACTGCTACCTCCCAGAATCAGCATTAGCAGGAACTTGGAGCCAGGAATTGAACTCCAAGACAGAATACAGGTGTCTTAACCAGCACCTTTGGCACTAAGCTAAACGGCTGCCCCAGTGGGTTTGTTTTTGAAAGCAGGACAATGTTTATTTTCTTTTCAGGTACAATTAAACTTGTGTTTTTGAGTTTTTATTCTATTTGAAATTTTTGAAATAAATTCTGAACTGGTTATTACTAACACCACTCATTTTTATATGACAGGATAAACATCAACATTCAGGTGATGATCAGAATGTTTGTCACGTGTGGCACATGAATGTAGAAGCACTTCCTGAATGGATTAATGGCCTGATACAAAAAGTAAGACTTTTAGTTTGTGAGTAAAATTACTAATATACAACCAACCTTCAGATTGTTTTTGTCCTCATTTTAGAGCTCTTTTTCAGGGATCCGTTGTCTCAAGACACATGAAAATTTGGTGTTATCCTTGACTATAGTTTTTGGTTTCTTCACTGTTATTAGAGCTCTCCAGATACTTGTAACTCTCAGGCTTTGCACTTAGTGTTTACCCTTCTCTGATTGTTCTTCTCACAGATGTTCACCTGCTTTTGTTGCTTCATTTCTATAGTTCTCATTTTCAATGCGGCCTCGCCGGCCAACTTATTGACAGCCCCCTCTTAACACTTCCGTTCTGCTTTATGTACCCACCTATATTTTACACACACTCATACACTAGAAGTAATATATAAGGGCTTTTCAAAAATCCATAGAAAATTAAAAGATAAATTTATTTTGGTGCAGAAAATTTTTGAAATAGATGCATAGAAGGGTCTTCAGAATGTGTGTGGAAAATGCATATTATGAAAAAAGTGTTCATAGATTTCAGAACTCATCTTCTAATTCCAGTTTCCCATAAACTTTTGAAAGTACCCTTGTATATAACTTATAAATACATGTGGATATATATGACACATATGTACATATAGACACACATATTATATATATATATAACTACTCACACACACATATAGCTTACTTATTTTGTTAATTGCCTAGTCACTCCCACAACCTGAATATAAGAATATAAGATCCACGCAATCAAGGACTTTTTACATTTTGTTGATTACTATATCTTCATCTCTTATAATAGTATCCATTGAATAAATGAAATATCTAGTAAATATTATTTATATTAATACATGTAAAAACTCAACATATTTAATAAACTAGGAGTGGGTGGGACAGTCAGTCCCAGATCCATGTCCCTGGGTTTGATGCCTGCCCTCAGCTTCCTGCTAATGGGGATCCTGTGAGGGCAATGATCGCTTAAGTAGTTGGATTCCTGCCACCCACATGGGAGAGCTGGACTGAGTTCCCACATTTGGCTAGCTCAGTCCTAGCTGTTGTGGGCATTTGGTGAATGGATCAGTGGGAAAGAGCTCTCTTGCCTCTCTGCTTCTCAAATGAATGAATGAATAAATAATGAAAATAAATTAGTGACTTACTGTTATAATTAAAATAAAAATAGTCTTTGAAGTATCCTTAATGAAATATAATAAATACAAGCACTTACTTTCTTTGAAAACAATTGTTTTTTTATTTGCAAGGCAGGGTCACCGGGGCCAGGCTAGGGCAATCCTGGGAGCCAGGAATTAAATCCAGGTTTCCCACATGAATGGTAAGGACTCAAGCATTTGAGCCATCCTCTGCTGTCATCCCAGATGCATTAGCAGGGAGTGGGATTGGCGATGGAACAGCTGGAACTTGAACTAGTGCTGTGATATGGGCGCCAGCCCCAAGAACTTACTGTCTTAATAGTAGACATAGTTATTTCTCACAGTTCAAAACACCTATGTTAGAAAAGTATGATTTTTAGAAAAACATATTTCTTCACTGAGTAACCTATTTTTTGTTAAAATAATGTTTGCTAGATATCCCTTGCATCTGTTCTAACATTGTAATTTTTTTTCTGGGAAAATACAAGTGTATTAGTTTTTAACACTCCTGAACTTCACAAAATATAGTAGGACACTACAGATGTTCCACTGTCTGTGTTGAAAAGATTTTAGCCAATTCATTATTAATTTTCAGTCTGAGTATAGAAAATGCTGTCTCTGATATGTGCAGTCAATATCTTCTGGTTGTGTGTAAAAAGCCAGGAAGCGCTTTATTCTGTTGGTTGGGTAAAGTTCCCTCCCACAGTGCTTGGTATGCAAGAAGTGTATCAAAACAGACACTTTTCTGTGAGATTTTACTTGCAAATTAAGCTCTGTAGACTGATTTGCTTCCTGGTTCTATAGTGTATTTTTCTTTTCATTAGTTCCCACTGTATCCATATTCAACCTATTGTTTAAGAAACTCTCTTTTGGAATTCTTAGGAGTATTGTTTGGATGGGCATGATTTGCAAAATGTTATCATTCTAGAACTTGGTAGCTGCTTATCTCTATTTTTTAGAAGGCTTGTTTCCATTTGCCATTCTGTCTACTAATCAGAAAGCAGACAGCTAGCCTTTTCTGTGGCATAGAAAACTTTCATGTGGTTGGCTTTTTTTTTTTTTTTTTTAAACTCACATTCTCTCTGGTTACTTTACAATGAAAGCATTGTCTTTATTTTCCTTTATTACCTGTAGGCCCAGTGGACAGTTGGAAAACTGAATTGCCCTTTCTGCGGGGCCCGTTTAGGGGGCTTTAATTTTGTCAGCACTCCAAAATGTTCCTGCGGCCAGCCTGCAGCTGTGCATCTCTCCAAGAGCCGGACCGATTATCAGCCAGCACAGGCAGGCAGTCTAATGAGACCTTCGCTGAAATACTGGTCACATCCTAGAGTTCAGTCAGGTTGTGACAAGGAAACTCGCCTGACAGGTGGTGGCTCCCAAAACAGAAATCATAGGCTTTTAAACATGGCCCTAAATAACGATGGCCCCGGAAGATTAACAGAAGCACTCTGCCTGGAGGTACGATCAACGTATTTCCAGATGAAGAACGAAAAACTGCTCTTCAGAACAAATCCAAAATACCAGCTTTTTGTTCCCCAGCTTTTGACTGGAAAATGCACTACAAGAGCTTTTCATAGAAAATCACATAGTTTGGATCTGAACATCAGTGAGAAACTGACTTTATTACCCACTTTGTATGAAATACATAGTAAGACTACTGCCTATCCCAGGCTCAATGAAACACGGCCTGTTGACCTTTCAGGTTTGCCTTTACAATCTGCTAAAAATAGCTGTTCCTTTCAGAATCCATCCAGTTTTGATCCTAACATACTGCTGCAAAGATTTTCAGTGGCTCCCCATGAGACCCAGACACAAAGAGGAGGTGAATTTCAGTGTGGTCTAGAAGCTTCTTCCGTGTATTCTGACAATGCCAATACTACTAGCAACCTGACGTTTCTCATGGACCTGCCCTCGGCTGGCAGGAGTGTGCTGGAGACCTCAGACCACGAAGAGCACCTCTCCCCTCTGGACTTCCTGCGCTCGGCCAGCTTTCCATTGGGCGCCATTAATCAGAGGCTAAATAAGAGAGAGAGGAGCAAGTTGAGGAATCTACGAAGGAAACAACGACGGCATGAAAGATGGCTACAGAAGCAGGTAATTTTTTTAAAAAAAGTTTACTAAAATGATGTATTATAAATATTGGGGTATGAGGAGTGGAGCTAACTTTGAATACCTGTTTTATAAAAACTTGGTTTTAAAAATTTTGAAGTAACATTTTAAAATACACTTAATAATCATGCAGACCAGTTGTAATTGTTATGTAGAATTCTGTCTCTCTGCTTCATTTATGTTTAGAAAAAGTCTCCTTTGTATGGTTTCTTTTTTCCAATTCAGCTGATATTTTAGAGGAATGTTAATCTCATGATAGTAAGATTGAATTGTTTGCTACATATACTTTAAATTTATTAGATACTGAACTTGTTTTGCAGTGAATTTATTTCAGATTAAGTTGGACAAAATGTTTCCCTTAGTTAAACTATCAGGTGACATGCATTTTTAAAAAATCACATTTACATTCAACGGATATTTGCAAGCAGTATTACTTAATTATATTCACATGATTCAGATGTGATTAACTGCTAATTTGTGGAAATTATTTAAAGAATAATTCACCCTTTCTTTAATTTTGTGTGGTTTGAACTAATTATGCACCTATACCAATATACTTCAGGGTGGGATTGTGAAAGGACTGCATAGTAAGTGTTAGGTGCTGAGGAAAACAATTAAATCAATGGATGAGACACTCATGAAAACCTGGGAGACTGGGGACTGGTATGTTTCTGTACAAACTTTTAAAAATTTGTCTTTATTATTTACTTATTAATATTAATAATAGGTCTTATTAATCAGTGCATTGAATATTAATATCCAAAGAACTAAAATATAGAAAGTTGCAACTTTGTTAAGTGAACTCATTGTGGCATATGATCCTAGTGATAAAATCAGTAAAATAAAATTACTGCATTGAAGACTTTCATCAGATGAGTTATTTTTATCCTCTTTCAGTTACATGCTATAATTATAATTATAGGTAACTATTATATTTTTAACTTACTGTCAACAAGAGCATTTCCGTTTGGTTTATTTGGAAGTGATGGTGTAATGTGACATCAAAGTATATATTATGTAAAAACTGGATATGTTTAACATCATTATAATATGCTTCCTGGTTTAATTTGTTGAAGCTTTAAAATTGAAATTTTTATTGAATTTTTATAAACCTACATACATTAGGTATGATTATTCAGAAGAATACCTTAAAATAATTAATGTACAAGGCTCTTAATTCTCTAGCAATTGGAAATTTAAAAGAACTGTGAAAATTATACTTGCTCTGTTAATGTAAATAAATGCAGATTACATCTTTGCAGTTTTAAAGATGTTTTAATTTTTAGGCTAAGTACTTGTGAAAACTTCAGGTTCACCATTAATCATTTTCCAGCATAAGAATGCTCTATTTTTACATGGTTTAGACTCAGGCTAAAGCAAGAGCAAAGTAAAGGCTTTTTTTTTTTTTTTTTTTTGTATAGATGAAGTTATTCATTCACACACCTATGATTCGCCCAATCTGCTTAGCTAATGGACAACAGATAATAAGTCCTGGATCTGTGACAGGTCACTGAAGGGAATGGCATAGCAGAATCTTAGAAGGTTTGCTTGCACAGGAGCTATGGGCAAACAAATGTCCAAAGACTCTTCAGCAAAAAAATTTAAAAGAGTAGTGCTACATAGAAATTTGCTTAGTTAATGATATGAGTAGATATCATGAGTATAGCTAGAAAGAATAATAATCATTTTTAAATGTTTTTACTAACAAGCAAAAGATGTCCTCATAAGAGTTACTATCTGAAGTAAATTAATGGTGTAGTTATGCAGCTCATTCCATATTTGATGAAGAGTAACTAATTCTGTAAACATTTTTCAAATGCCTATTTGAAATACCATTCCTTTGAATAGATACTTCATTTTTAAAAAAAAATATTTATTTATTATTTGAAAGGCAGAGTGATAATGAAAGGAAGAGAGTGAGAGGAAGAGAACTCTTCAGTCCTCTGGTTAACTCCCCAAATGCCTATAGTAGGCTGGGCCAGGCCAAAGCAAGGAGCCTAGAATTCCATCTGAGTCTTCCAAGTGGGTAGCAGAGACCCAAATACTTGGGGGTGTTATGTACTGCTTTCTCAAGTGCTTTAACCGGGAGCTGGATCTGAAGTGGAGCAACCTGGACTTGAATTGGCACTCAGTTATGGGTTGCCAGCATTGCAAGAAGTGGTTTACTTGCTGGTCCACAATGTAGATCCCTGAATATTACTTCAATACAGATCCTACACCTTCCCTTTTTTTTTTAAATGAAGAAGATAAGCATATAAAATATACAGTAAAAGGTACTACTATTAAAGATAATTTTTTAAAGTTTAGAATACTTATTTGAGAAATCTGGATTTTTGATTATGATTTGTAATTTTTAATGATTTTTTTTCTGTAAGCTAGACATCTTTCAGTGGTATATACTGTGATAGTGTTCATGACACTACAAAAACAATTTAAATTTTTGAAGCTTTGTATTGTTGATAAGACTGCTATGGAACCAGAAACTATAGCCAGCTTTCAGTGGTTTTGTTCTACCAAAGTTAATTGAGCCTTTAATTTGGGGAAAGACATAATACTGAACTGCATTTAACCAGCAAACCCCTTTTTATCCAGCATAGCTCCACCCTTTTAATTGTCATGCAGTAAAATTGAATCATTCCTGCATATAACTTTATAGCTCTATGATTTAAACATGTATAGAGTGCAAATAATGACTACCACAGCAAGGACACAGAACACTTCCCCACCAAGCTTCTTTATGCTATGTGCCATCATAATCACACCCTTTTCCATTCCTAATCCTGGAAAACCACTTCTGATCTTTTCTCCATTATTTAAACTTTATTTTTTGATACTGTTATAGTCTTATACAAAATCAAATTATATGTATTATTGTATATAATCTTCCGAGACTTCTTTAAAAAAATATTTGGGGTGGGGGAGAAACACATTCAAAGAAAAAGAGAGCTCTCCCTCTGCTGTTACGCTCCCCAAATGCCTGCATTGTCTGAAGCTGGGCCAGGGCTGATACCAGGAATCAGGAATGCAAGCCAGGTCTCCCACATAGGAGGCAGAAATGGAATAACTTGACCTGTCACCACTGCTTCCCAGAATCCGAAATCAGGAGCCAGAGCTGGCAATTGAGCCCATGTACTCAGATAATGGCCTGGGAGTGTCATAACTGCTAGACTAAATATCCACACTGAGACTGGCTTCTTTTTAATTTTTATTAATTTATTGATTGATTTTTATTTGAAAGGCAGAGAAACAGAGAAAGATAGATTTTCCATCTGCGAGTTCACTCCTTGAATGCTTGCAACTGCCAGAGTTGGGCCAAGCTGAACGGGAGTCTTGAATCCAAGTCTTACATGTGGATAGCAGGAACCCAACCACTTGAGCCATTACCTGCTGCCTCTTAGGTTGACATTAACAGGAAACTGAGATCAGAAGCAGAGCTGGGACTAAAACCCAGACACTTCAATATGGAAAACGGGTATTCTAAGAGGTCTTTTAACCACTGTACACAACATCCATTCTGAGACTGGCATATTTCATTCAGCACAATTGCCTGTGAGGGGAAAGATATTTAGGCTAGTAGTAAGACACTGATTAAGATGCCTGTGTCCCATATGTGAATACCTGGGTATAATACCTAACTCTGATTCCTGACTCCAGCTTCCTGCTAATAGGGACCCTGGGAGGCAGCAGCGATGGCTCAAGTAATTGAGTTCCTGTCACTTACATCGAAGAACTGGAATGAGTTCCTAGCTCTTAGTGTTGGCTCAGACCACCTCTGGCTGTTGTATGCATTTGAGGGAATGAACCAGTGGATGGGGGTACATTCTGTCTTCCCCCTGCCAATAAATAAAAATCAAAAAACATTTTGCCTATGAATTCATCCAACTTGTTGAATATACTTCAAAAAATTTGTGGAAAATATATTTTGTGAAGATTCTCTGGATGGATTAAATTTTTTTTCCAGCAAGAAAACTTATCTTTTAATTCCATTTTCCAGAACCTTTTTGAAGCACCCTATACCTACAATTCTTTTTTATAGTTCAGTGTCAGTCTATCATATGAATGAACCATAGTTTATCCATTCAGCTGTGGAAGGACAGGTGGGTTGTTCCACGTTTTAACAATTATGAGTAGAACTGTTATAAACATTCATGCACATGTTCTTTTGTGAACCTGAATTTTTATTTCTTTAGGTTAAATACCCAGGAGTGGGATTGCTGAATCACATGGTAAGTGTATATTTAACTAAGAAACTGTCAAATTGTTTTCCATAATGACTACCATTTTGCACTAAGCAGTAATGTAAGGGAGTTCATTTGCTGTGTGTCCTTGAAAGCAGGCATGTGGTATCCTCAGTAATTTTCATTTAAATACTATACATATATAATATAGTAGTGTCACCTTGTGGTTTTAATTTGTGTTTGAATGATAATGTTGAGAATCTTTCTTATGCTTGTTTTCATTTTTATATAACCCTTAGTGAAATATCTCCTCACTTCCTTTGTTCAATTTTTAATTGGCTATCTTCTTCCTAATTTTGAGAGTTGTTTGCATGTTTTGGAAACAGGTCCTGCCTTGGATATGTGATTTTTATTCTAGTCTGTAATTTGTCTTTTTATTCTCTTACCTGTTTTTCACCAGAAAAACTGGCTTATCTTTGGTGAAGTCAATTTTTCAGTTTTTATTAAAGTAGTTCATAATTTTGGTGTCATGTCTAGGAACTCTATCTTACCATAGATTAGGAAGATTTTCCCTGTGTTCTCTTCTAAAAGTATTAATAGTTTTATACATTGAGGATCGTGATTTGTTTTAGATTGATTTTTAAAATAAGCTGTGAGGTTCATTTTAAAGTCCATTATTTTGCATAGAGTTGCTCAGCTTTTCGAGCACTGTTGGTTAATAACACTGTCTTTGCTTTGAAATGATTTGCAGCTTTGTCAAAAATCACTTGACTGTATATGTGTGCATCTGTTTTTGGACTCTTGTTCAGTTAATCTTTATGTCTGTATTTGCTAGTATTTTCTCTTGTTTATTGTAGATTTATTCTAAGTCCTAACATAAGATACTGTGAATCTTCCACCAAAAGTGTTCTTTTTCAAAATTGTTTTAGCTATTCTAGTTCCTTTGATTTTCTATATAAAATTTAGAATTAGCCCTTTTAAATTAAAAAAAAATTATATTGGGATTTTGGTTGAAATTGTGTTAAATGTATATAGATCAATGTGAACATGTTTGTTCATTTAATTTAGGTCTTTGATTTATTTCATCAATATTTTGCAGTTTTCAGCATTCAGAAATTGTGTTGTTAGATTTATACTTAAGTATTTCTTCTTTGCGGGTAAAGTTTTTTTTTAATTTATTGATTTACAATTGGACATTGATGGTGTTTAAAGCACTATTTTTGTTTTGATTTTGTCTTGTGATGTTGACAGTACAGATTTTTAACATTTTAGTTGGATTTACAACTATGTTTTTATATTTTAACACTCTTTATAAATAATAATGTTTAATTTTAATTTCTACTTGTTTATTATAATATACAGAAATGCAATTAATATTTATCTTTTGATCTTCAATCCTGCCATTTTTCTGCTGTCGGGTATTAATGATAGTGGGTTTTTGTTTTTATTTTTTGGTAAATCACATTAGGTTTTGTACTTAGATAATCATTTTACTTGCAAGTAAAAACTACCTTTTTCTTCCTTTCCAATCTGGATTTTTTCATTTTTTTTTCCTTGTATTGTACTGAGTTGAACCTCAGGACAGTGCTAAATAGAAGTTGTAGAGCAGACATCCTTGTCTTTTTCCTGATGTCTAGGAAAATATTCATCAGTTAGTATGTTGTTAGTTGTAGGTTCTTTGTAAATTCTCTTTAAAAAAAAAAAAACAACTTTTTTATATGAAAGGCTGAGTGACAGAGAGAAGAGGGAAAAACAGAGAGGAAGAGATCATCTGTCTACTGGTTCAGTTCTCCAAATGGCTGCCACTGCCAGTACTGAGCCAGACTGAAGACAGGATCCAGGAATAGCATCCTGGTCTCCCACAAGGGTGACAGGAGCCCAAGTACCATGGCCATCTTATGCTGCCTTCCCAGCACTCTCACAGGGAATTGGATCTGAAGAGAACAGCTGGGACTTAGAGTGTCTCTCTGGTAGAGATGCTGGTATCACAAGCAGCAACTTACCCCCTTTGCCAAAATCCTGGCTCCTGGAGATACTCTTTATCAGGCCGAGGAAGCTTCCTTTTATTACTAGTTTGCTTATGATTTTGTCCTGAATGGAAGTTGAATTTTGTCAAATGGTTTATCTTTTTCAATGTATATAATTGTTTTGAGTGTTAATATATTGATTCTCAAAAATTGAGCCAGTCTTATATTCCCACAGTGAGCTTCACTTTGTTGTTATTATTCTTTCTATATAGTGCTGGGTATTATTTTGCTGATTGTTTTAAGGCTTTTTCTTTTCTTTTTTTTTTTTTTCTTTTGTGCCTCTGTCATAAAGGATATTTGTCTGAAATTTTCTCTTTTTTTGTATTGTCTTTGTGTGGTTTTGATATCAAAGTAGCTCTACCATTAAAGTTAGTTTTCTGCTTTTCTGCTTCCTGGAAAATATTGTAAAAGATTAATATTATTTTTGGCATCAGTAATCACCCTAGGCTCTTGTCATGAGTTGCCAAGGCTATGGAAGCCCCCTGAGTTCACTGACTCTGATCATTTTTAGACAAGGCCATGGTCAAAGTGGAAGTTCTCTCCTCCCTTCAGAGAAAGGTACCTCCTTCTTTGATGACCCATTCTTTCCACTGGGATCTCACTCGTGGAGATCTTTCATTTAGTTTTTTTTTTTCCCCCAGAGTGTCTTGGCTTTCCATGCCTGAAATACTCTCATGGGCATTTCAGCCGGATCTGCATGCCTTAAGGGCTGATTCTGAGGCCAGAGTGCTATTAGGACATTTGCCATTCTATGGGTCTGCTGTGTATCTCACTTCCCATATTGGATCATTCTCTCCCTTTTTGATTCTATCAGCTAGTATTTGCAGACACTATTCTTGTTTACGTGATCCCTTTGGTTCTTAGTCCTATCATTACGATCAATTGTGAACAGAAATTGATCGCTGGGACTAGTGAGATGGCATTGGTACATGCCACCTCGATGGAATTGAATTGGAATCCCCTGGTATGTTTCTAACTCTACCGTTTGAGGTAAGTCAGCTTGAGCATGTCCCGAATTGCACATCTCTTCCCTCTCTTATTCCCACTCTTATATTTAACAGTGATCACTTTTCAGTTAAGTTTCAGCACTTAAGAAGAATTGTGTATTGATTATAGTATTCAACCAAAAGTATTAAGTAGAACAAACAAAAAAAATACTAAGAAGGATAACATATTAAGCTGCTTATCAACAGTCAGGGTGAGGGCTGATCAAGTCACCGTTTCTCATAATATTCATTTCACTTTAACAGGTTTCCTTTTTGGTGCTCAGTTAGTTGTCACCTATCAAGGAGAACAAGTGGTATTTGTCCCTTTGGGATTGGCTTATTTCACTCAACATAATGTTTTCCAAATTCCTAACAGGGATCACTTTTCAGTTAAAATTTAAACACCTAAGAATAATTGTGTGTTAATTACAGAGTTCAACCAATGGTACTAGAATAAAAAAAAATACTAAAATGAAAATGTTTGATAATGAAACAACCTGGCCTCAAGATGTCTTTGCTGGAAGACACAGGGTTAATTTTGGTAATTTGTTATTTTCAAGGAATTAAGTTTTAAAAATTACGTGTGTAGCATTGTTCATAGTATGTATTTATTATCCTTTTTTTTTGTTTGGGGTCTATAGTGATACAGATTTTTCAATTCTAATAATGGTAATATATGTCTTCTCTTTTTAATTTTTTAAATTTTTCTGGAGGTTTATCAGTTTTATTAATCTTTTCAAAAATATCTTGAGATATCAGTGATTTTTCTCTATTGTTTTATTGTTTTTTTGTCTCTCATATGATTTTATTTATTTATTTATTTATTGTAACTTTTATTTAATGAATATAGATTTCCAAAGTACAGCTTATGGACTACATTGGCTCCCCCCCCCCATGACTTCCCTCCCACCCGCAACCCTCCCCTTTCCCGCTCTCTCTCCCCTTCCATTCATATCAAGATTCATTTTCAATTTTCTATATATACAGAAGATCAGTTTAGTATACATTAAGTAAAGCTTTCAACAGTTTGCACCCCCATAGAAACACAAAGTGAAAAATACTATTTGAGTACTCGTTATAGCATTAAGCCTCAATGTACAGCACATTAAGGACAGAGATCCTACATGAGGAGTAAGTGCACAGTGACTCCTGTTGTTGACTTTACAAATTGACACTCCTGTTCATGGCATCAGTAATCTCCCCATGCTCCGGTCATGAGTTTCCAAGGCTATGGAAGCCTTTTGAGTTCTCCGACTCTTATCTTATTTAGACAAGGTCATAGTCAGAGTGGAAGTTCTCTCCTCCCTTCAGAGAAAGGTACCTCCTTCTTTGAAGACCTGTTCTTTCCACTGGCATCTCACAGAGATCTTTCATTTAGTCCCCCCCCCCCCCCCGAGTGTCTTGGCTTTCCATGCCTGAAATACTCTCATGGGCTTTTCAGCCAGATCCGAATGCCTTTAGGCCTGATTCTGAGGCCAGAGTGCTGTTTAGGACATCCACCATTCTATGAGTCTGCTGAGTATCTCACTTCCCATGTTGGATCACTCTCCCCTTTATTTATTCTATCGGTTAGTATTAGCAGGCACTAGACTTGTTTATGTGCTCCCTTTGACTCTTAGTCCTTTCATTATGATCAATTGTGAACTGAAATTGATCACTTGGACTAGTTTGATGGTATTGATACATGCCACCTTGATGGGATTGAATTGGAATCCCCTGGTATGTTTCTAACTCTACCATTTGGGGCAAGTCAGCTTGAGCATGTCCCAAATTGTACATCTCTTCCCTCTCTTATTCCCACTTTTATATTTAACAGGGATCACATTTCAGTTAAATTTTAACACTTAAGAATAACTGTGTATTTTGTTTTATTGTTTTCAAAGTCATTGATTTCTGCTGTTTTTATTATTTATTTCCTTTGCTTTGAATTTACCTTTCTCATCTAACTTTTTTTTAATGGTGGAAACTTATACTACTCATTTGATCCCATCTTTTTTTCTCTTCTAAGCCTTTAATTCTTAAATTTTCCTTAATT